GTTCTAAGAGGTACCTCAAATACAGACAATAAGTCTAAGTTACGTGCTATCTATCTTCTCTACAACTTCATCACTTACAAGTGCTATAAAGAGGGTATCCAGTTCTGTTCAGTATTCTGCCTTTCAGGTACAGATCTTTACCTTATCCTAGATTATCCAGATCAAAGACAACTGAAGTCCCTCTTTAAAACATTAGATTTGTGACACTGTTCTGTACTGAAATCTAAAGCCAGAACTGCTCTGCCAGGCTGTATACTCATCACCCCAAGAGCATTATATTAAATCTACAAAGTCCGACACATGACTAGGGACCTTTCCTGGGCTAGTGCTGTACTGAACAGCAACATCCACTCCTTTGCGTTGTAAGAAAAAGAATAAATTAGAGATTTCTGAAAAGGCAGGGGACATCCCTATAAGTGGGACTGTATTCACAAGTTATATACTTCTGCAGGAAGTAAACTCTATACTTTTTCTAGCAAGATACATTATTTCTCATTGAATTCTGGTATGGCTACATCTTTTTTTTTTTTTTTTTTTTATGTCCTCCAGACCACTGTCACACCAAACCTACATTAGTTTGTGGAAACATCCCAACTTGTAATTGCATTACGAGAACTGATGATTTCAGCAAAAAGAGTTCAGGCAATCTGGTATTTTTTTTAATTAGCATGCCCCTCTTAACAATGCCAAAGAAATCATTACTGCCCTACTGGGCTGTCTCTTCCTGTGAAACTTAAATGTAAAGAGTAACTGAACCAAACGGGCAAGGGAAACATTCTAACTTACATAAAGATGACAAAAATTATTTGCTCATTTTAAAAACAGGGTTGAGCTATGTTAATCATTCTTTTCAGAAACATTACCAGAAGAATAAAAATAAATGCTTTAGAACAGTCACCTACCTGAGACTAACTCACAGGCATGTTACTTGCACAAAGACATTGAAACCAATGGTGAAGATTTTTTTTATTCAAAACCAGAATGGTTATGCAGTAAGGCTAATGATACAGAACAGAAATTCAAAGGTAGTCGATTTCTATGAGTAGTGCAGTTCCCCAAATAATTTTCAACAAATGCAGGAAAGTTCAGAATTAATTTTAAAGTAAATCCCAACATCCTTAAGAATATAGTCAAAGCATCCAAACAATTAATTATGTCCCATATTAACATGCTAATTGCCTTTGTGTGGAGCAGCTGGGGAATTAAGGATGAATTAACTAACTGTAGTCACTGAATTACAACTTTTTTTTTTTTTTTTTTAAAGTGCAAAGAAATTACTGGTATTTAAGTCAATTATAAATTATCATTTTTTCTAGTTACAGACACTGGTACTTACTCCTGTGTAACAATTTACCAATCTTGTACTCAACTTTAGGAAACACCTGGCGACTCTCTTTCTCGCATATTGAGAAGGCCATGATCAACAACCACGGCAGCTCAAAGACATGTTGTGAATCTGATGGACCAAAGTGCTGCAGGTTGGTATTTCAAAGGAATATTTGGCTTTAAGCCTGTGTCAGCCAGTGTATCACTGGTTCAGTTTAATATTTAAGAATTTTATCTAAGACTAATTACTCCTCCTAGGGAGCAAGAATAAGGCTTTCAGGCATCGTTGCTCTACAGCAGTACAACACTGGATATACTCGCTGAAGTTGCATTTACTCGGAGGTGGAAACAAATCCCATTGTAGGTTTACACTCTAGACTTGCCTTAGAGAGCAAAAAGAGGCAACTTGTTAATTAATCTTTGCCAAACTCAGTCCTGTCCAGAAGAACCAGCTTAAAAATCTGATGACTCAGCTTTCTGAGCTTTAGGACCAAAATTACACTTCATACCAAGGCAATTTATAAAATGATGTTGAGAAAAGAACTGCTGAATGGGATCAGGATGAACAAATGTGATTTTTCACTCCAATATAAACTGGCTTCCACATTTCTTTGCAGAGAAAGAACAAAACCCACATGAGATACAGAATCTCCTTAATGGCATAGCAACTTCTTAGTTTACTTGTAATTACATCTTGTACTGCATCAAGACAGTCACAAGAGAACTCATGCGTAATTCTTTATCTTTGCATGTCTGATAATATTCACAAAGCAATGCCCCTGCCTAGCAGTGTATTAAACTAAATCTACCTCTTCCCCTCATGGCATGGTACAGGAAGGTATCAACATTTCCTTCAGGGTAAATCCAAACCAAAAGGGCAGCTTTAATCTTAAGCAGTGCTCCAAGGTCATGTTCTAGTGGTAGCATCTACAGCTAGGAGACTACTGTGTGAGCATACTGCTGACCAACACTTTGTATTTCTGTGTTGCTGTGGCTACCCGTGACAGTGGTGCATGCACAAAAACTATTGTTTAAAGTAGATATCCTTCAGTGCTAGAAGCTGACTTCATGCACAATAACTCTACAACTATCCTGAACTTATTTTCAGCTTGTATTCAAAATACTGAAAATTTTATTCTATTAAGAGTAAGAAAATTTTTATTGCTTTCATGAATAATGTGTATTTGAACATTGAAAATAATTATGTAGAACGATGTAGAAGGTACCTAATAAATTCTTATTCATTTAACAGGAAAGGTTGTCTTAAGCTTCTGAAGTATCTTCTAGAACAACTTAAAATTACATATATGAAAGAGTTGGAAAAATTCTGCTCATATCATGCCAAAACTGCTTTTTTCCACGCATGTGTCATATGGCCAGATGACACAGACTGGCATGTGGAAGACCTGGATCATTGCTTTCAGAAATATCTGGGATATTTTCTGGATTGTCTGCAAAAGTCTCAGCTGCCGCACTTTTTTATTCCCCAATACAACTTGCTCAGCCTCAAAGATAAAGCGAGCAGTGATTTCCTTTCAAGACAAATAAACTACCAATTGAATAATGGATTCCCAATATTTTGGGATAGGCATTGAAAAATATTGTTTACAATAACTATATAATAATGTAAATTTGCATATTTAAAACCAGAAGTTCTGCACCTTAAGTTACTCCTAGTAGTCTGATACTACAAAAAAAAAAAAATCAAGAACAGTAGGAAAATTGTATACTTCAGTCACACTGCTAACCCATATCCTTTAAAAGAAATAGGACATTAAGTAATATTTATCTTCCCTATCCAAATGTAGATGTCACCTGCAAATTATCTTCAAGGTATGCTAAGAACATATAGAAGTTTGTAATAGTTAATTTCTCATATGTAATTTCTATGATTTCAAATATAAAGGCATCAATGACTGGGTGAAGTGAAAAATGATAATTTTATTGAAAATGAAGATCTGCTGCAGAATATTCAAAATACAATCTTGCTTTCAAAAGAAAAAAAGTCCCTGGAGTTACTTTGACATAAACCACAGCTTCAACAGATCAAGGGGGTAGATAAAGACCTTTTGCAGAGGACAATGACCAGCATCAGTGAGCAGAGAGAATATGGTATCAAAGCAATGTGAAGTTCCTGAAATAACTTATCTGAGTCTTCAGAATTGCTTTGGAAATGAGTCTTTTCACTGGACTTTGGATGGGAAGCAATCATTATCTAAAGTGCTGCAACAGAGTAAAAGTTATTGTGCAGTGAGCATTTGTGAGACAAATCTTGTAGAAAGAAATGTATCTTCATATCAAGGGGTAGAGTCTCCATGTGAAAGGTTATCAAAACCAAAATGCAGCGTGAATCGGACATTCTCTGAATCAGAATTCAGCTCGATTTTTCTTATGTTGAAGAGTATATGCATTAGGAAAAAATAATATTTCCTATTACTAAAATTGTGCAGGTGATAAATACACAGCATTTGGGAACTGCTGTGTGCTGTAAGTAAATATATCTTCTGCTTTTTCTTAAAGAAGCCATGGGAAGTCCATAGTTGTAGCCTACTTTTTGAAGGCAAAATAACCTACTGGCTTCAATAATGCCCAGATTTCACCTCAATTATGAGCAAATCAAAAAGAGGGAAGGCTAGAAGAACATTTAGAGAACAATTTTACTAAAATATTCTCATCTCACTAGATTCAGTTTATTAGTTTTTCCTTTACTCATGACACGAGTAAACACAAGTTCAGACCAAGCATCAAAGGAATAACTCCTTCCCATGTAACTTCCAAAGAGTGAAAACATTCCCCGCTATTGTTAGCGGTCTGTGTGACAGAACCTGGCATCCAAAGGTAAGATTTGAATCAATTTATCAGAAAGAAATAAAAACTGACCTTCAACTGTATTTTTTCTTTATGACTTTGCTAACATTGCTTTAGTAATCTCTGGTTTACTTCCTTAAGCTAGAAAATGACATCCATGAGAATAAGAGTAGAAGCTGTTTTTTTCCACAGCCACAAACACATACTTACTGTTATGCTTTACTCCATTAGGAGCAAATGCAGACTTCTCTCAAAAAAACCTTGAGACACGAGTCTTAACAAAACTTAATTTCAATGTTAAACCCAAACAAACAAAACTTGCTTCAGCAAACATCAGTTACTGCAAACACAGCAGTTTTCAAATAACAGTTATTTGAAACTCATGAAATGCTGAGGAAATACTGTGTGTCACTGGCACATGTGGCATATATCAATGCAGAAGTACAGTATCTTGAAGCCATGCTGACAAATATTGCTTACATTCACTAATCCAGTTCTCTGAAAATAAAAGGAAAAATTATCTTTTACATTCTTGCGTATTTATACTGCTTTTAATTTTAAAAAAGCACCAAACCCACAGTATTTGTTTTTAACCAGCAGATAATGGTTTTGTAAGTTATGCACAGAAAACAAGGAAAAAAAAATTAATTATTCTTAAAGTGAAAATAGTGTCCAAGGGGAAAACTAGATTTATTTATATTTAAAGTTAATCCAGTTTTCTTTTCTAAACCACTTTTACAAATGCATTTTCTTTAAATGGATAGGTAAAGAAAACAATGAACCGGAAAAGAAACTTCTAAATTCAAGCCCATAGGTGTTAACATTAACTATAATCACTTTGTTTCAGTAACTTCCAGGGGTTACAGTTATTTTGAGGGCTTTCTCGGAGGTCTTCGTATACCCTTTTCAGTTTCTCTTCTCATTTGAAATTGTTCGTATCTTTCTGCCATTGCAATAAGCTCATTAGGAACTACCTGGTAAGAAAGATAAGAACAAGGTCAGTTTGAAATAAATCTAAACTTTTAGTCTCTGCTTTACAAAAATTCCATTGATTTGTGTGTTCCCAACATTGATTTTGTAATTTATCTGGGTCCCGTCACTTCGCAGATTATCTCTCTGCATCTCTACAGAAAGAGATCTTTTTACATAAAATTATAGTGAAAAATAATCAGCACAGTGGCAGCACAGTTACACATATATGCCAGTATCACCATATCCGATGACAACATACAACCAGCTAATTAAAATATTTGTATTTCAGACAGAAATGCATCTTTCGGTGATAACGATCAGCTGGAGAAAACATCCAATGCCACTAAAAGGTGATACCATATTATATACATATTTGAATATTACACTATTATGATTGATATTAAATTCCTTTTGGAAATTTTAAGAGCCTCTGAAGAGAAACTTTGCTACTTAAAGAAGGTGTTGCCATAGGAAGGGTTCTCACATGGATAAAACAAAGCTAAAAGACAAGAAAAGAAGGGCAGGAGAAAGTGGTCAGTTCTCCCACCACTGGGAGGTCACAAGAGGATCTTGCCAGAAAGCACTGAGGATCTTGGTATGTTTGTAATGATATGGAAAAGGAGGTGAACAGTACCATAAGCACACTTTGTCACCTCAGAGTTACTCACCTTCGTAAGGACTGAGGCCAGATGCAAAGAATTACAGACTTTAGTTGGTTGAGTGATACTGATTAGTGAATGAAAGAAAGAAAAACATATACTATTCTTATAGATCATGGAACAAAGGCAGTGTCCAACAAGTCTTCTTAAATCAGATCAGGCATAATGCAGACATCAATACAATGTTCACTGCAAAAAGCAGTATGGGCAGCTGTACTGTCAGAAGATGTTTTAGATCACTGATCTATCAAAGCCAGTCTGCTTCAAAAATCGGCTACAGCGTGTAGCCACACAGCAGGTACAAGATATAGAATCACAGAATGGTTTGGGTTGGAAGGGACCTTAAAGATCATCGAGTTCCAACCCCCCTGCCATGGGCAGGGACACCTCCCACCGGCCCAGGTTGCTCAAAGCCTCATCCAGCCTGGCCTTGAACCCCTCCAGGGATGGGGCATCCACAGCTTCTCTGGGCAACCTGGGCCACTTGCCTCACCACCCTCACAGTGAAAAATTTCTTCCTAATGTCTAGTCTAAATCTGCCCTCTTTCAGCTTATACCCATTACCCCTTGTCCTGTCACTACACAGATAAAGAGTGCCTCCCCATCTCTCCTGTAGCCCCCTTTCAGCACTGGAAGGCTACTATTGGGTCTTCCTGGAGCCTTCTCTTCTCCAGGCTGAACAACCCCAACTCTCTCAGCCTGTCCTCACAGGGGAGGTGCTCCAGCCCTCTGACCAGTTTCAAACTTCTTTTGTCAGGTTTATAATTCAGCAATGCCTGCCATTTGCTATCAGTATTTTTTCTTAAGCTGGCATGACAGTCAGCTCACTAGCAGATATTTTGTGCTGTGTGGTAAACAACTGCCCTGGCTGTCAGGAGTCCACAGAACAGGATGCCTATAGTTTAAGACATTGTTTAAAAATAAAGTGAAAAATTATGCAACTCTCCAACTGAAAGTCACTACAGACTTGCATCAGTAGAGACAGAAGTAATGAGACAAAGTTAGTGCTTCACAGTTGAAACACTGGATAATTTTCTTCTTCATGGATAATTTTCTTCCTCAGTAACAGATCAGATCCTCTCCTACAGCATGAAACAGAATTTATTCCAACTCAAATTGCAACAGTTTCTTGCAAGACTGTTTTTTGAGCAGGCACAAGGAAAGAGTAGGAAGAAGCCAGGATATGGAACATAAAAATCTCAGTGAGGTGATATCCAGCATCTAGTGGTTTGATGAGAGTTTTACATGGACAATCTGTGTATCTGCTAAATATGTAACCTAGGTATGGTAGTCCAAATGAGAAAACAGAAAAGGAAGAAGATGTCATAATTTATATGTAACACTTCTCTTGGTATTAACAGAGATCAGTGGTTTTCCACCTGATTCTCTAATAGATCTGTCTCTGCTTCTAAACAAACTTGTATGTAAAGATCCCTCCAGCATAATATAAAATCTTTCTGTTGTACCTGTTTTTTCTTTAGGGAGATTATATTCAAAAATCAGTGAACACATCTGGCTAACAAATGTACCTTACTTCTTTTAAAATCTAAGTATTCTGAACCTTCAGATCATGTTTTCAGTTGCTCTCCTTCCCTTTTACGTGATACTTTAAGACTCAAGTAATGATATTTTCATTGTCATAAAGAAAAAAAAAAAACCCTGCCTGTATGGATACCGCTATAACTTGAAGTTTGAGAATAATGTGACTAACAGTTACCCTTGAAAGTAAGGATTCAGAGGTGCTTTTTTTCTCCTCTGAACTCAGAGATCCATCCTCAGTTTAGCTATCAAATGTTTAAAAAGTTTGGGAACTTCACAGTATGCAGCAGGAAACAAGGCATGGGTTGTAGCACCTGATGCAGAACAGAGAACAAGGCACTTCTAAGTTATATTTAAGTATCTTCTAAGAATCATTACTGGTTTTGCCTCTTACATTTTCTGAAGAAAAAAAAACCCAAACAAACAAAAAAACCCACCCCCAAACAAAAACCCACGACCTGCAACTCTAAGGAATTATTAGAGGACAACCCTTCTTTGTTTTGTTTTTCTTTTGCTTCTTGAAATCTTCTTATCAGGTTTGCAATAAGTGGCATGACATCTTTTGAAGAAGAGTTGTAAAACAGAAGATCTAGGTGAAGTTCTACGTCAGGGTTTAAAGTTCGAGCTAGTACCCACAACAACAACCACAGGTCCTTGGTAAAAACAATTTAGTTTGTACTCAGACTTTAGGTGAAGTTCTACCTCAGGGTTTGAAGTTCGAGCTAGTATCCACAACAACAACCACAGGTCCTAGGTAAAAACAATTTAGTTTGTACTCAGACTCCCATCCCCTGCCCTGCCCACCCCCCCCAAAAAAAAAAAGAAGGAAAAAACCTTTAAAAAATTTCAACTTGAGTCAGGGCATGAAGTGGGTTTACTATAAATCAGGCAAAATATTGTTTTTGTTACAGCAAAAAGCAGCAAGAAAATTGACTCTGGCTTCTTGGATATGGTCACAAGAAAAAAAAAATTATTTAAAGTAAATAAAGGAATCACATTCCAGTCCTATTTCCCATACTATTTACAAGCATCTGTAAGAAAGATAGTTTCAAAAAGTACATGCAGATATCACAACTGTCAGATATAATAAACTGATAGTTGAGCTTCTTCTGATATAAATATTGTTAATATGTACACTGTTAAACAAGAACATTGGTATATGAGTCCAGAGGTGAAATATAAATGGAATAAAATAATATGAAATAAAATAGATCCTATTCTGGGACTCCTAGACCTCTACATGTGCATAGATGTTAGTTACTTTTTCTTTGGATGCAGAAGGCTTTGATTAAAGTTCCCAGCTCTTTTCTGGGCTGGGACTCCTCTGTAAGGTAAAATACACCTAAGGATACCCAGGACCAGAGAGACTTAACTACTAATTTTTTTGCCAGAGACCCTCACCAAGAAAGGTATAAGTAGGCTTACACCTTCATGAACTGTTTCAGGTGGTAACCCAGAACCAACATAAAGTCTTACCCAGTAAGATGTATTCTTACTTGGTTTGCTCTTTGCAGAATTTCAATCAGCTCAGATGCAAACCTCCAGTCTTTCCTAGTGACAAGTGTTACTGCCTCCCCAGTGCGTCTAAACAAGGAATGAAAAAAGTGTTCATGTGCAAAACAACATATACAAGAGAAGTCACGTGTGCCATACCTGGGAAAGCAGCATTCCAAAGTCCTAACATCAAACTACACAACAATGATAGGCTGAAAACTTTCAACTTATATATGTTTTTTACCAGTAGGCTGTCTAGGAAGCCAGAGACAAACAAGGAAGTGACATTTCAGAATATCAGACTCAGAATTACAGTTGTTTTGAACTGTAAGTTGTCCCCACATTTAAATCAGCTTTCAAACATGCCTCATTCCCATCCACTTCAATGAAATAACAGAAAAGTGGAAAACTTGTTTGTCTTAAATTTAACAAAGAATGAAATTCAAAACATAAGGCAGCATGTTATCTAAAACATACTTCGATAGACTTTGGAGTCTTCACTCCCCCACTCCACATCACCAGTAGCTCTAGCATTTGACAAGAGCAACCTCTAAGCAGTGCAAAAAATATTGACAATATATTACTCTTTTCTTGTAAGCACTTACCCTGCTCTTCCAGTACGACCTACTCTATGAACATATTCTTCTATGTTGCGAGGAAAGTCAAAGTTAAAAACATGAGTAATATCATGCACATCAAGACCACGGGATGCTAAGTCAGTAGCTACCAGTATTCTGACTTTGCCTAAAGTACAAGAGAATAGGAATTTACAAATAAATGGGAAATATACTCCAGTCTATTGCTTTTCTGATGTATAATGCACTTATTCTTAACACATAAAGGAAAAATATGCTTGTTGCGTGTCACACTGGGTTAGCTTGAAACACAAGTTGGTAAGTAAGCACCCAAAACGTCATTTTACTATTTGTGTTTCACAAGTAAAACAGCAGGGTGCAGACAACCGAGAAACATGCCTAGCTGCTACAGAGAGTCTGTGAAAAGAACAGAAACTTCAACAGCTATATTCTCAGCTGGCATCCTTATCACAGGACTACTTTGTTTTATTAGCATGTGACCACCTAACCCCAAAGTGTAACCCTGCTGGCATAATCCTAAGCAGAACTGTTTCACTGAAAGCACCATCATTTGACACTTACTGTTCTGTAGACTAACACAATATTGACTTTTCCACAGAGACTTAAAAAATAAAATAAGCCTTACTTTAAACTAACTCTTAGACATTCCAAATTTTATTGAATCACAATCTCTCTTTGCAGTTTTTTTTTGTTTGTGAAATTAAGAAGTAAACATATCATTCAGAGCTCTTTAGTATTTTAACTTATATGGTACCGAAGAGACACGGCACTTACAAAGAGACAAAGTTCTGCACGTGTCAAGTTTTAAAAACCCAGGTTAAACAAACCAGTACTTAGGTACAAACGTACCTTTCTTGAAATCATCTAAAGCCTGTTCTCGATCACACTGTTCCCTGTTACCATGAAGTGACTGTACAGGAATTCCTTGGAGACCAAAGTCGCTTGCTAAATCATCAGCTCTAGGATGAAATAAAAGAATGGTTCTTAAAAAGAAAAAAATAAGAAGAAAATAAAGCAGCACAGTATCTAGATTTAGACCCAAAAGACAACAAAGTGACAACAAAAGCTAAATGTGGGCCAAAGGACAAAACCCTGCCTAGGTCAACTCATATTTATTATAAAACAGTATGAAAGGAAGACTATTCCCCACATAAATGTTTGCTTTTGTTTGTATATAAGACAAGTAATATATGATTTTTGTGTTGTTCACTCAAAAAACTCAGGTATGGTACAATGACCACCCCCCCATCAGGTCTTGTATGCATCAGCTGCATGTGAAAGTAAACAGCACATCACATTAAGTGTCCTGAAGAATCTTAACATCTAGCTTAACTATGTGAAACTGAGATGTACGACCACTGTTAATGATATTAAAAAGGATACAAACTAGCAGTCAGTCTGCAGAAATAAATAAATAAATAAAAATACTACCCCTGCCAGCACATTGTTGACAAGAGCTGTTACATTTAGTAATTATTATGCTAAGAAACTGTCTAGTATTTCTATTAGAACAAAAAATGAAGAGATGTAATACTGGGAGGTGATTACATACGTAAGCTTTTTTCCCACAAAAATGATGACCTTATCTTTTGGCTTCATAGAGTCAATGAAGCATTGCATGAAAGCTCTCTTTTCCTCCTCAGCGATAACAGTAACTCTCTGTTCTACTGTATTTACTGCCTGTTAAACAGCAAAAAGGGATATAAAATAGAAACAGATTAGAATAATATTTTTTCTGTTAATTCCCATATTAAGATATGATGAGACTTGTAATACGATACCACAAAAAACTATTTTAAAACCAAAATATGTATCACTTTGGAGTTCAAATAATGCAGATTTATTTGTTGTTTCCTAGTGGCTTTAGGAGAATAGTAAAATTTATCTTTAAGCAGTTTGCCAAATCATATATTTGCAGAGACTGGGAGGGTACAGTTTAGCAGAACAGTAAGGTGAAAGACATATTCCTAATATCAGTGAAAATCGGATTGAAGTACTCTGAGTATATTTTGTGTTAACCCAGAGCAAATTAGAACAATGGCAGTCTTCCTCGAAAGGACAAGCTTTTAAAGAAGATTCTGTAATCTATTTGAAATGATCAGTTCTGGCCAATTCTTCCAACAACAGTTAATAAACACTTTACTCCATTATAGTTGAAGGTTATCATATAATGTCTAAGGTATACTACATAAGTAGTATAAAGGTCTAGACATTCTCATGGCACTGCATCATGATCTTGTGGCAAGGGTTGAAGAATCAATCAAGTACATAGAAAGAGTCTCTCTCCACATGGGAACCCTTGCCTCTGCTCCCCAGAAGTACCTCTTCAATTAAGAGAAGCTCCTGTAAAAGATGAATACATTACACAAGAGAGCTGCATTAACAGTTGATAACTTTTAAGTTCCAATCTTCTGTCTTTGAGAAGTAGTGTCCTTTGACAAAAGCACAGTTCCAAACAGGACAGATGAAAGTACATTTTCCCCCTATTTCTACTCAAAAGCACATTGAATACTGAGTTTCCTCATTCCCTATCACTAAAAAAGTGTAACTGAAAAGGAAAGTTTCATAATTTAAGAGCCAAACTTAAAGCAATCTCTGGACCAGGATGCAGAAATTTTGGAAGAACCACTCCTTCTGTAAATTCTGCTGGTGCTGAAGCCAACTACACATAGCTGCACGAGCATGACACGTATGCAACTACATCTACAGATTAGAAATTTTGGACTTTGAAGACAGTTGTTACTCTAACATATACGTTCCTGCTCTAGACAAGTGCTCCCCACCCCCCAGTTTAGTAGAGAGCTTCTGCTCTCTTTGAGAAAGCAGCAGTCAAGAAACACAGATCCAAATTAGGAGCTGTATGCATCAGAAAGAAGACCTTCAGAAGGAAAAGTAAGGAAGCAACAAGAACTTGCTGAACAGAAGTGAAGGCTCAATATTCAAAATTCAATTTGATTGACACTTGTTGCTTGTGACGTGTTACACTGAAGATCTAGGACTTCAAGATTTTGTTACAGAAACAAACAAACAAGAACTTTGTTCTTATAAGCTCTTTCTAAACTTTTAATGAAGCTTTAGAAGAACACTATGGAGCTGTTTTTTAAAAGTTTGGATTGCTTTTTCAAGTTACATACATTTACTTACATATAGTTACAAGCAAAATATTTCCTGGTTTAATTGTAGGTTCTTCTCCCAAAGAAAAAAAAAAAAAAAGAACAGAACAACTTACTGCTAAGTCAAGAGTTCCAACATATACAATCATAGGATTTTTCAAATAGGATTTCGCAAGGCGCCGAACACCATCAGGCCAAGTAGCACTGAACAGGAAGAAGAAAAACACATGAGAATAAGAGTGCAAAATCTTCTCCAACTCATTAATTTCATCACATTCTCCGTTCTATTCTTTCTTACACACAGGTGAAACACTTGTGTATGGAATAACAGTATTGAGCTTATATAATATTTAGAAATAGTCTGAAGTTATTAGTAAACAGCACTCAAGCTTTAAAGATAACTTTCTAGTTTAAAACTACAGGCAACAGTTATGGAGCCTTTCTAATGAAGCAAAAGTGAGTTTAGTAGTCCAATGATACCTGATAAGCAACCTTTTAGTCTGTTTGTATCTCTAAAACAATAGCTCCAATGCAAAATACAGTAACAAAAATGACAGCTGGGATACTCTATTATTAAGCGCCCAAAAGCTGCATAATTTCAAAATTAATCCAGCTACAGACTAGCACAGATACTGATCAGAAGGATACACATTTGGTCCCAGATGGAGAAACAGAAGTCGTTTCAAATTGATATGGCAAATTCTAGCACTCCCAGGACACCTTCCATTTTGGGAAGAACTCAGCTGTCTTTATAGTTGATGTAAAATATCAGAAAAGGGGTAAGAAGTGAAAATAAAATTATCAAATGACTCGTTATGACTGACTAGACAGAATTAGAAAGAAAACTGATGCCATTCCCATTTAGGCTAGTAAAAGTTTTATTGAAACGGACAGATTTGTTTTGAAGTTAACTTTTTCAATAACCTTATATTTGCAGCATTCAAGTACTGAAGACTATTATGTTTACAAACCTTGTCATAACAGTTTGTCTGTCAGGCCGCACATCAATTAGGATCTTCATTATCTGAGGTTCAAATCCCATATCCAACATTCTGTCAGCCTCATCTAAAACCTGCCCAGAACAAGAATATTTATTGTGTCTAGTTCCTTAGACAAGGGTTTCTGCAAGGCATTTCTTAGCAGATAATTTTAGTGGTAACAATTTTAATTGCAGAATCCGCTCCATAATGTATTGCAAAACCTGTTCAACTTCTATTTCACCTCTTCAATTTCCTTGAACCTTTTTCATTTAGTAACACATTTGCAGGCAGAACATGGAAATCCATTGCACCTTTAAGAGCACTTAAAGTAAATGAAGAAGAAAACAACAGTTTTGTTTGTTTAAACAATAATTTAGTTGGTGCCTAAATCTAAGCATTGAATCAAAAAAACTCCAAGAAACTAACTAAACTGGGGGGGAGGGGGAGATCCCACACAACACACTTTCAATAAGAAATTTTTAGTAATTTAAAGGGGGAAATCTCATTTCTACCTTGTTAGAGATCTCACACCAGACCAAATATCAGTTATCAATTTAGTTCCTTATTAGAAGTAGGAAAAAAGCCAGATTGTACATTCTGGCTGACACTAGGACACTGCAGAACTCCCAGAGCTCAAACTTGTTTCATCTGGTAAAAAAACCAAAAGAGAACAATTGAGCTCAAGGTCTGAGTACAACTATTTCGAACTGATCTTTTTTTCCTAATATACAAGCACGCTTATAAATGTTTTCAGTCTCATGCAAAGGAAGTAGGCTGCCATCCAAGACTGATTTTTCTCCTTTAATTCTCAAATAGAGTTTATATAACCAAAGTTATATGGATCATGCTTTTAAATATTGACATTCTAGTCACTTAGGTGGAAACATAACACTTTGATAATAATCCCTTTCTACCGTCCTGATTTTGCTGTTTCATGCTTTTCAGATGTTTTATTCTATTACATGTTTTTAGTACATTATCTGTGTAAGCCTCTGAAATAGTAACAAGTCATCAGCTGATAAACAGAAGAGAGGAATTCTATTTCTTGATTTAATAATTTTTATTTTCAAAGGATTCACGGAGACTTCATTAACTATTTGGATTCTACTACAACGGCAAGGCTGAAACATCACTAATTTTATATACAGAGTTGGCTACTGTGCCCCTTTCAGCAGCAGAAGCTTTTAATCACACTGGTACTTTACTGGAAAGGGAGAAGATAGCATGTAAGTATGTTTACTAGCTGGAGCAAAGTATTTGAAGTTTACTTAATTCTCATAATTGCCTAATAAAGAATAAAGGCTGTAATAGATATAAGATAGATATTAGCACTATTTTTTCCAAACCCCTCATATCAGGTCTTGGTTTATAAGCTTAATCTCCCCTCAGCTGACAAAAATCTTACATTTCTTATCTATACATATTTACTTGTATGCTAATATTTTTAATTTCAGTTATATTTCTTGGCAAGAAATTCTAACAAGCCAGTTCTTCATGTGAAAATTATTTTCTTTCTTCTGTTTTAAACTAGGAAAGTAGGTTTACACTGTTTTTTAAATTTGAAGAATAAAAGGAGTATTCCAATCTACCTTCCATATCCTACTTCATGATTTATATTTTTTTTCAGTATACTGTTTCCCCTGAATGCTTCTCAATTATTTATGCACAACTCCAATTTCCTTACTTCTGCTTTAGGAACATAAGGTCAAAAGAAAAAAAGCACTTGGGATTACTGATGAACAAATACTGATTTACACTGAACACAGCAAAACAGAAAGCAGTCTTCAAATGACATGTACTGTAAACAATCAATAGGCCATATATGACAGAATTTCCCAGCCTTTCTTCTGAAATCATGAAAACCAGCAGCCTATCTGGAATAAATGGGTTACTAAAAATCCTAATCAAGACTGCAACTAACTTGATGGTTCCGTCAGGCAAGAAAACAAATACCCTCATGCCTCCAACTCACCTTGTGTATCATGCATATTCAAATAGAATTAACTTTAACAGAACTTGTTTTTTTGTTTAGTTGTTTGTTTGGTTAGTTGGTTGGTTTTTCAAACAAACAATTATATCCCAGTCTCTGGCCTTGGAAATATTCACAAGACTCATTGATATCTAAAGGAAAACTGTAAATAAAGCTCTTCAATGAAGAGTGTTCTTCAGCCAAGGTGTTAAAGTTGAAGTCTAATATCCCTCTCTTTTCTCTGAAATGAGGCTGTAAGATTAAACTATTTGTTGGCTGAAAGTTAACAATGAAACAGAAAGCATTTTATATATTAAAAAGTACAAGAAACTACAAGGAAAAAAATCTATGGTAACATTAAAAAAAACCTCAGAATTTTGGATGTCCAGCTTTTCATATGGGACCTAAAGAAGCACAGCATTTCAAGAAAATCTAAGGCATGACACATTACCCACTTTGCAAAACATGCTCCTTGCACTGGTTTCAATCTTCTGAAAGTATGCAACTGTTAGTGGTACAACAACAAACATTTTTCTCCTGCTTTACATCATCCTATTTCTCAATTTGATAGCCAATTGTGCTTGTAGTATGACCATACTTCACCCTGGTAGAGAAAGCTTACTAATGTTCCCATAGTTCTCAGAAAGCAGGTTTTCACGCCTTTTTTCCTCCTGCTTAGAAATTATATGTTACATGAGGCTACTCTCATTTGCCAATAATACTTCTTTTTCCACATGGCCAAGTTTCTAATGATGCCATACCACTGCTGGCCTTGCCAGTAAGCTCACAACTATTATCGAGAATTTGAGCTAACTTGTTACAGCATAGTGAGTACTTAACCCTTAGAGGGGAATGGGAGTGGAGATAAGGGAGGGAAAGCGGGCCAAATTATCAAACTAGGCAACAAGTCATCAGTTAAACAGACACCTCACATAATTTGACATAATATGAAAAGTATTTTTCAAAATAGCAACAGTTTTAATTGTCCAGCACTGCAAAAGGAAAGAATGAAGACAAAGATTCATAAGCATGTTTACATGGCTATTTTCCCACTGAGATCAAAAGTCAGTCACCCAAACATTTAAGTATCTAACTGTTTGTGACTCTGGTGCTTACCGCGCAAGTTCTAAAAAGAACCTGAGTCACTAGTAACCTTTAAAAGCAAAGGAAAAGACAACATGGGAAAGGCAGATAATCCATTAATAACTGATCTTCACAAAAATAACTTTAAAATAGCAAACGTTGCTAATATGTCATAACAATTTAGCATCTTTAAAATGCTTATTGTGCAAGAAGCCCATTTTTTTCCTAATTAATACTCCATATCTGCAATGCAATTACAGTATGTACGAACCATCCCTCCAACACCAGTCTCAATGTTAAGATGTATTGTAATTAGGACTTAAAAAGTTCAAATAAAACTTTGTTAAAGCTCAAGTTCCCCCTAAGTAACAATTTCCCAAATAATACATTACTCATTCCATATCAGCTACTTGCCAAGTATGTTATGCTCTTCAAATTTATGAAGTTGTTCATTTGAAGATCATTCAGTCTGCCAGGAGTAGCAATAACAATATCCACACCTTTGGTAACCACGTCTATCTGTCCTTTTCGGTCCCCACCACCATATATGCAAATACTGAAAAAATAAAATGTTTTACAGAAGCAGTGTATTAAGGTGCACCTAAACTCAACCTTTTTCAAATAAATGCCACCATCTTGCTTCATTTTAAGAAGTATCTAGTATTACCAAGAGGAAGGAATACTATGAGTGTGACCTACATTATCATAGTAAATAATGGACTTCACACTGAAACTCCCTCAGCAGTTCAGCAACAGCTTTCTGCTGAAATTGCAGTGAAAGTAATCATGAAAGGAAGGAAGATAGCTATTAAGCTAGGGGTATGTTTTGAGTTGTTCTGAAAATATTCACTAAAAATAGATTAAAGTATGAAAGGATGCATGATTTTCTAAACAGTACTATCCAAAGTCAGATGTTTTGATGTTAAAACAATCACCACACTCAATAAGGTATTAGGCTTACACACAACCTTAATGTCCTCTGTAGAACTCCTTCGCATTTTTGGGAAGGAAGTAGATTGTACATTTCAATATTAGACGACTAGGAGACTAATTCTGAATGCTATACAAAGTTACCAGACAGCCCTAAAATAAGTTTGGAGTACAGTGATGTCTGTTTAATAGCTTAAATGAAGATCTATGCTCTCAGCAGTTTTGTGGCTGAAACCAAATTGGGGAGCAGTGAATGCAGTAGAGGGCCAGGCTGTTACTCAGAAGGACCACAAACGGCTAGAAAAACGGGCTGACAGGAATCCCAGGAAGCTTAACAAAAGTAAAGATGAGGACAGAATTACCCCATGGCTGAGGGCCAACATGCTAGAAGATGGCTTTGCAGAAAAGCCTTGGGTGAGCAAGAAACTGAACATTATTTAGCAGTATAACCCCACAGAAAAGCAAGCCAGCTGTGTACTACGGAGAAGGAAGCCAGCAGCTTGAGAGAACTCATTATTCCCCTTTATTCAGTACTTGTGAGACCACACCTCAAGCACAATATCCAGCTTTTGTACACTCCACCTCTACTACAAGACATATATATCCACACTGGAACGAATCCAGCAGGCAGCTTCCAAGATGGTCAAGCGGATGGAGTGCACAATGGGAGAAGCTGGTAACCAGGCTCGTCAGCCTGAAGAGGAGAAGGTTCAGGGAGATCTTACTGCTGTATACAACTACCTAACAGCAAGATGCCAAGAAGACAAAGCCAGACTCTTCTCACCTGTCCACAAAGGACAAGCAGCAACAAAGGTACAATACAGAGAACTCCAACTATATAAGAAATAGTTTTTTACCATGAGAGTAGTCAAAACAGGCATTCTAAAACCTGGGAAAATATGAACTCTTGCATTTACTACCTTCCCCTCCTCTCTTAGTAAATGTAAATATTTCAGTAGGTGAATTAAGCCACAAGTGGTAGGAAAAAGTTACTTAACAAGATGAGTGAGAAGATTACCTTTTAATTCCTTTGTATGTGTACTTCGAACACTCTGCCTCTACTTGAAGTGCCAGTTCTCGAGTGGGAGCAAGGACTAACATTCCTGGCCCCCCACGCTGATCTTTAGATCTGAAATAAAGCATCTTTAGAACATGGGTATATAAAGCTAGGGAAAGTCCACCACATCTGACACTGAATATTTTTATACCGTCATAGACTTTCTCAGTACGCTGCCACAAATATATGGTGACAAATTTGGTACTTACTCCACCAGGTTTATCATTTTTTTCTAATTTATGATTTATTAGCTTCTTTACTAGAAAACCATCACATGGGAGGTGAGGACAGGGGGAGGTGTCCACATATAAATCAGTCAGACATGTGAGCAGTCCTTACATTGGTTGTGAAGTCAAGTGAATGAATCCAGGCATTAAGTATGCTAATGTCTTCCCAGTACCAGTCTGTGCTATCCCAATAAGATCAATTCCTTGGAGTATGATTGGCCATGCCTGAGACTAACATAAAACAACAAATACTTAAATGTACTTTCCCTTTAAGCTTCAGTTAAAGAGTCATCAAAGTTAAAGAAATACCTGAATTGGTGTAGGCTTTTGAAAACCAACTTTTCTTATATTGGCCATAAGATCAGGATAATGCTCAAATACATCTTCAAATTTACAGACAGGATTGGGAATGCAGCGCTTTTCACCTTCTTTTAAGTCATCACAAATTATATTATTATTTTCTTTCCTGTACAGAATTAAAGAAGTTCAACTGCTTTGAAGTCTCATTATCTGAAAAAGTAAAGCTAACACAAAAGACTGCTGATATTTTTTTTTTTTAATTCCTGGAGCCACAAAAAAACTTCAGGCTCTTGAATGAGACTTACAACTATTCTTCTGACTTTTAAAAAAGCCTTACTACAGAAACACTTCTCCTGGAGGCATCAATTACTATTCTTCCTTAAGAATGACCAATTTGGAATTATAGATGGTTATTAGCATGAACCGCAGTCCTGTCATATCAGACTTCAATTATACTCTATTACAAATTAAATAACTGTGACAAGTTTTTAAAACTAGAGACAACCCAGAACTCAGAGGAATGGATTTGACTTCTTTGTCAGAATTCTATATTCTGACAAAAGCTTTCCCGAAATATTTTCAGATCAGCTCCCTGGATGCTCTAGAAAATACAAACAGAACAGTTTAGAAAAAAAGAACATGATCGGTAAGACAAGCTTCTAAGAAAAACACCTCAAACCGCCCCTCTCCCCCCCCAGTAAACAAACAAAACCCAAAACACAACAATGCACACAAAAAGCTACATTAGAAAATTAGGCTCTGAGGCTCCCCACAATTAAGAGGTATTAATATGCATAAGTAGTTTATCTACATTCCAGTCCTGTACCCTTCTGAAGATTCCATTCAGCAAATAGTTTTACTCCAAGCACGGTGTGGGCTAGGAAAAGAATATGTAATTCAACCTCTTGTCATGGTTACAAAAATACCTTTTTCAGTTACTGTGGTTTTTTCCTTAAAGCAAACAGAGTACACGAAAAGGGAAAAACATTCCTTTATCACACAACTGCTATTCCTCAATGCGTGTTCTGAGCCTACAGAACAATGTTCTGTTGCTCCTGACTAGCTCTAACAATAATACATTAAAACAATTAATGATTAACAATTAATTTTTTTATTAAAACAATAAAATGAATATTACTGAGGCATGTACTCATCGGGACATACTTGTAAAGACAAGATAGACAGATAGGAAGAAAATGGTAACACAAGTTGAAATTTGTTTTGAAGATGGTATTTGACTAAAATACATGGGGAAAAAAGTGGCAGCAAGAGGTATTCAGCGTGTGAACAACCATATTTGGAAGAACATAGTAAGCGTGAACACGCTGTCTTGTGAAATACAAAGAAAGAGCGAAAAGCCAATGAACTGTCTTGATTTTTTTCCCTTCTGAAAGTCAACTAGATCAAACACTTTTAGAGAAACAGTTAATCCCTAAAGTTAATTTTCTAAGCAACTAATACTACCTCATCTTCTAATTATTATTTAATTCCTAAGAAAGGGTTCCTAAGAAGATCAAAGTTATTAGAAGACCTTAACATTAGTGCTTCTCAGTATTTAATCTCACACTTTCTGGGCTTTACACCTCAATAGTTATTTTTGCCAAGCAGATGATTCCCTATAGAAATTATCTTACCGCCACAGTTCCACTTCTTCTTGTGACATAGATGCAGTCCTTGACAATTCTTTATAGAAGTTTTTCTCAATTGGAGGCAAGTCTAATACAATCAGAAAAAGTAAATTTGCGTCAGTAAGAAATGCTACAGATTCAGGGTAAGTCTGCTAAAGCCCAAGATCGACATCCCAAAACCCAGACAGTGCCTTGTACTAGGAGGCTAGTCAAAAGTGAGTAGGTCACTAGACATGGTCACCACCTTATTTGGAGACTGAAAGATTCAGTCCTCTCAAAGGAAAAACTACAAACGTTTAAGCATTCAACAGATTTATCATATAAAGAGAAGTACCATACAATCAAAACTTTAAAACTAACCTGCCCACTTCATAGCTTCATATTTAGCTCTGTTTTCTCGAAGAGAGGCCCAGTTAATCACTGATTTCTTTGGGTTATTTTCAGGCTTGATAATGTCCCAGGTTTTTCCTGTGGAGTTAGTAACAAAATTCTGCTGTTTGATAGAATCTATTGTACGGCAAGGGAGAGGCCCCCCCGCCCCCAACAAACACCTTATTTTCTTTTTTCTATTGTAAGCCTCTTACGTGATTTTTTACTAGACATGAAGCACTTAAATAGCAAATTCTTTCCTAGGTCTTAGCGTGAAACACCCGTAAAACTTGTACAAATACAGTTCTGTTAAAAAAAGAAACATTTCAACATCTTTAGCCACTATAAGAAAGTAATGATAGGTTCTGAAATGCTGCTCCTCCAGCTATAAATAAGGCTTCTTGTGCAGTAGGCTTTTGAAAAACCCAGTAGATGATATGAAGAAAGCTTTATTTTTAACAGCCACAAGAGCAAGGTTTACTTCTAAAACATCCAACACCACCACAATAAAGTCTCTGTGTAGTTACACTCCATACTCGGTCACATCTACTAAGGAAGCGTTAACTATTTCTAGCCTCTTGCAACATACTCGTTGCACCTTCTGGTGCTCTTCTATAAATCAAAACTCACAACTACTCCATTCCTTATTCTAACCCTGGAACACAACTCTCAGATCCCTTCTTCCTCATTAGTGCCTCAGATCAGCAACTATAGATGTTGCTTGCCTATCCAAAAAGTCATTGGGAACACATAAAAGACAAATACCAATAACATAAGCAGCATCTCAACATACAATCATTGTCTGTATAACATGGATATACAAGCAAAGTAAACACAATAAAGCCTAGTAAAGTGAGGCACAATGTGCAACATCAAATCTTAAATGCTACCTTCCCATGAAAGTACTGAGAAGTCAGCATCGCCCATGCTATAATCAGTTTGTTTGCTTTATAGACTACATTTATAAATGCTTTTTGAATTTTAATACTGCACAGATACTACATTAAAGCTTAAACTAGAACAAATAATTGTATTTGGGGGGGGAATCAGACTTATAATGCAAGAAACCAAGTAGTATAACATTCTGCATTCATTAAGATTGCTGAAAACACAGGAACAGATTTTCACAGCTGTCTGGCAGTTCAAGGGGAGGAAGCTGTTCATAGCTGAGAAAGGAGGACGTCTAGGTATTTCTGTTTTAAGCAAGTATGCCGCTGTCCATGAACAAGGTGAAAGGTAACTTGCTTTGGTAAAAAATATAAAAACACTCCAACAAACTATCAAATACATGGAAAGAAAATCCATAGTATTTTTCTTTTCCAAAACACATTTCTTACCTTTCTCAGTCCCACCTCTAATGTAGCTTTGTCCAGATCTTGCAACAGCACTGTCAATCAACATCTTGGCTTTGTTTTGTACAGCAACACTGCCAAAAATCTTTACTTCAGCTTCATACGTTCCCCTTATAACCTATGTTCATAGAACCTTACTGAGACTTTTAATACTGCAAAGACAAACATTATATAATAATAGATACTGAAAACAATTTTTGATTTATTTTTTTCCAAATTTTAATTTCTCTTCCCAGGAAAAGGCCCTTTAATTCCCTTTCCAAAAGAAAAGGAAGCTACTGCAACATTCTTCAGCTTGGTGCCGTAACTCTGGTTTAAATGGCAGCAAAAGCAAGTACGTTCCCAACAGAGTCCATGCCTGGATGACACACAGCACATGGTACCTTTATCCTGGAACCCGACGAATCCTCAAGTTCTCTTATTTTAGTTCCGCCCCGACCTGTTATAAAGATACACTGTAGGTATTAGAAATTTAGGCCAAACCGTCAAAAACTACACATGGTAACTGTAAGTATTTTGGTTGTGACCAGAACCTAAGACTTCTGTGTGAGTGCATACATTCATAAATAAAAGAACTTATCACACCAAACTGTTGGAAAATGCAGGTAACATTTTTGGCAATTAACCAAAGGCAAGGTGTGGGGACGGGGGAAGACACCCTAGCCGAAGAGACAGCCACAAAAACAGCTCAAAAGAGAGCTAACCTTCCTCCACGTCACTAGAGGGGCTTCAGCCCACGTACAGACTGCTGCCCACGAGAAAAAGCCATCAACCCAACCACTTCAGGCAGGAAAAGCTCAGCTACCCTGGCGACTGGGAGAGCTCCACTCTTCAGCCAGCATCCTGCCATCCTCAGGGGCAGGAGATGTGAGGGAACCACAGAGGTTCTGGGCCCCTCCCACAGCCAGGGAGACAGAAGGCAGCCGCGCACCTCCCCCAGACACCGAGAGAGGGGCAGGGGCCCACACGAACAAACCTCCCCGCGGCCAGGTCCTCTCCTCCACTCCCACCCGCTCACCTCAGCGGGGGTGTGGGTGCGGCCGTTATTACCTGTGAGAACCCCGACCAGGGCCTTATCGAGGCGCAAGCAGAGGGGCGCGGCGGCGTCCCCGGCTTTGCTGGC